CAGCTACATCTCGGGCAGTCGGGAGATTCCGGCAGCTCCTGAATGGAAAGGATATTAATGGCAGGAGCGGGATCTGCCTCCACAAGGGGCAGGGGTAGCCTGCTCAGGCCGTCTGCATGACCCATCTCCTTATCAGGTTTGTGAACTAGTGAGTAGTCATATGCAGACAAAAAAATGGACCACCTTAGCATTTGAGGGGAAATGATTTGAGGGGTTTGTTTATTGGTGGTAAACAGTCCTAACAGAGGCTTATGGTCAGTATAGACTGTGAAATGCCTGCCATATAAAAAATCATGAAATTTTTTAACACCCGCTACTATGGCCAAAGCTTCTCTATCAATTTGAGCGTAGTTGCGCTCAGCGGAAGAAAGGGTCCTAGAATAATAAGCAACTGGAACCTGGGTTCCATCAACCTTCAAGTGGCTCAAAACAGCACCCACCCCATAAGGGGAAGCATCACATGCGATGCAAACAGGAAGTCTCTTATCAAAATGAGCAAGGACATTATGAGATGTGAGTAAGGCCTTTACCTCATTGAAACTCTGATCGTGAACCTTGGTCCACTGCCAGACTGCCTGTTTATCTAACAATCTATGTAGAGGCTCCGCCACAGCAGCCTTGTGAGGTAGGAAAGCATTGTAAAAATTTAGAAGGCCTAAAAAAGCCTGCAGTTCGCCCTTTGACTTAGGGCGAGGAGCCTGTTGAAAGGCCTTCAACTTTGACTCAGCTGGGTGAATGCCCTGTGCATCTATTCTAAACCCCAAAAAATCTGTGGATGTGACTCCTATCTTGCACTTGTTTTTCTTAAGCTTTAAACCTGCTTTCCTAAACCGCAGCAGTATAGCCCTTAGTCTTTCTGCTAGATTGTGCACAGAATCTCCAGCAATAAGGACATCATCGAAGTAAGGACAGACCCCAGGAATGCCCCTTAGTGTGTTTTCCATCACACTTTGAAAAATACCTGGTGCCACATTTACTCCAAACTGGAGTCTTTTTACTCTGAAAGCACCCCTGTGTGTCACAATGGTCTGTGCCTCAGCA